TTTCATGCACTCCATCAATGTTTGAAATAAATGAACTGCTTCACTCTGGCTGAAGTTAAATGTTTTTTTGATGGTTGAAATAATATCGGGTTCTGCTGCATCTGGAAGATTCCTAGATTAAGAGGAAGCATAACTTAATTCACTGATTTAAATTTTCATTATTTGTAGAATCTAATATGAAATACAGGTGGATCTATGCAAGACTTTTAAAGCTACTGTATTAATATTAAGAACTTGACCCTTGGTGAAATTTTATCCTTCATGAGACTCCCACTATAAGTCATAAAGGGGGAAATGGAATGGAATGATTTTTCTCTTTGAATTATTTTGAAGTTTTTTACAAGGTATGTGTTTCAATATTAGTACTCATATTCTATAAGATACTATATAAAGACTAGAGGCCCGGTGCATGAAATTTGTGCACGGGGGTGGGTCCCCTCAGCCCAGCCTGTACCCTCTCCAATCTAGGACATCCCCCTCACAATCCTAGACCGCTGCCTGCCTGGTCCTAATCACTCAATGCCTGCCTTCCTGGTCACCGCCAACTGCCCCCCCAGCCCCGCTGGCCTGGTTGCCCCCAACTGCCCCCCTTTGCCAGCCTGGTCTGGTCACCCCAAACAGCCTGCTGTTCAGTTGTTTGGTCATTCCTCACCAACCCCCCTGCTGGCCTGGTTGCCCCACGTAGCCTGCTTGTTCAGCTCTTTGGTCTTCCCTCACTAACCCCCCTGCCAGCCTGGTTGCAGGCAGCCATCTTGTGAGGGCGTGAGGGTTAATTTGCATATTATCGATTTAGTATATAGAATCGTTTTAAGATACTGTGGTATGTAAAGTAGTATTTCACCAACATGTCTTAAACACAAGCTCATGCACATTTTTATTTTTTTCTCAATAAGTATTATATTTACATGGCTCAAAAATCTATATATATAATAGCCTAAGCAACCCTTACGACTGAATGACCAGAACAACCAGTTGACCAGTCACTATTACTCACACTGACCACCAGGGGGCAGATGCTCAATGAAGGAGCTGTCCCCTGATGGTCAGTGCGCTCCCGCAGCCAGCCAACCTCCCCCAGTCCCTCCCTGCAGCCAGCCTACCTCCCGCAGTCCCTCCCCCTAGCAGGCCAACCTCCCGTGGTCCCACCCCCAGCCAGCTGGCCAATCGCCTGTGGTACTTGCCCCCGGCCAGCAGGCTCCAATCAGGGCTGGGTGAATTTGTGCACCAGACCTCTAGTATAATATAAAACACTCTAAATATAAAAATGTGAAAATTCATAATGAAAGCCTCCTTCCCACTGTCTTCCATCTGCCCAGTTTCACCTCAACTGCTGAAAAGGAACACTATTAGTGTGAATAGCTTTCCAGGATCTCTTTCTATATATACCAATAATTATCCTCTTTCCTTCCTACATAAAAGGTATAGCACAATATACATGCTACTCTGCATTTTCCTTATTCTGCATATATATTTTAGTAATCTTCCCAAATCTAGTACACAGATGACAATCTTACTCAGTTACAAACTATTCCATTGTGCAGACAGACCATAATTTACCTAGTCCCTTTGATCTATGTTCTATTTTGTTGCAATCTTTTACTATTACAAACAATACCGTAATAAGTGACTTTATACATATGCTATTCATATATGTAGAAGTACATCTGCAGAAATAATTGCCAGAAATGGAACTACTGGGTCAAAATTACATGCCTCTGTAATCTGACAGATCTTGCAAAATTGTCCTTTATAAAGATTCATGTATTTTAACTCATTCCAATAACGTGTCAAACTATTTCCTCAAGCCTTAGCAAGGTATCATATTAAACTTCAGATTTTCATGTTCATAACATACTGAAATGAATCCAATATTCTAAAACACCACAAGCCTCTTTACATAGTTATTAAAAACTTGTTGTTGCCTTGGCCGGTTTGGCTCGGTGGACAGAGTGTCGGCCTGCGGACTGAAGGGTTCTAGGTTCGATTCTGGTCAAGGGCACATGCCTGGGTTGCGGGCTCGATCCCCAGTGGGGGCCATGCAGGAGGCAGCCAGTTGACGATTCTCTCTCATCATTTATGTTTCTATCGCTCTCTTCCTCTTTGAAATCAATAAAAGTATCTTTTTTTTAAAAAAAACAACTTGTTTTAATCAAACACACTTACCCTCCTTCTTCTGTTTGTTTATGAATATACGCTAGTAGATCTGCAGCTCTGCCTGTTCCCTCACATATGACAACTGGTACAGGAGGACTTTCCTGAAGGTATTCTAAAACTGTGAGGATAACATTTGGCCCACCTTCAAAAATAAGTGCCACCACAGGGACACCTTGACCAATTCCTAAAAAAAGGAAAAGATTCGTTAAGATATTAGGCAAAACTAGCAATTTAATCTTATTTTTTATTCATCAAAAACAAAACAAAAAAGGCCAATATAATTTCTTTCAATACAATGTTGACTTCATTTTAAGCATTTAACATGATACTAGTCTGGCATAAATTGAATACTGAATAAGTTACTTTTTCATTGACTTAACGTCTGTTTTAATTGACAAAATTAGAAAATCTAATATATAATTAGAAATACACTAGAATTTATGTATTTTCTGAAAAGTAAAAATATTTCACTAACAACTCTTGGTAAGAAATGTATAACGTTAATTTGTTTTAGAGTTTGCTTCTAGTTGAATTTCTAATATATGTCTGTTTAATTTGTTATTAGAAGGTATATTTCTGATTCCAAATAATTGAGAGATTAATAAACATTAACAACAGAATTAGGGTCACATAAAGGGAACTGATTAATAAAATACAAGACCTCTACAAGAGTAACAAATTTATTAAAGAATGTCAATTTTTGTTTTTAATAACCTGCAATGCAGCGAGAGAATTCAAAATATACGTAATTATAGGATTAAAACATTCGTAATTTTAAAGAGATCCTAAGACTCCACCATAATTTGAATATAATGTTCTATAATTTTGAATTTCTATTTCCCTTTGTCATAGAGCTCACCTTCTTGGTTTCCTAAGATTACACAATTTCTCCTTTTTGAAATAAAAATCTAGATGTTGAGGGAACCAGAAAGTTTGACTATGGTTGAAAAGGAAGACCAGTACTAAGAATACCAACTCGCCGAAACCGGTTTGGCTCAGTGGATAGAGCATCGGCCTGCGGACTGAAAGGTCCCAGGTTTGATTCCGGTCAAGGGCATGTACCTTGGTTGCGGGCACATCCCCAGTAGGGAGATGTGCAGGAGGCAGCTGATAGATGTTTCTCTCTCATCGATGTTTCTAACTCTCTATCTCTCTCCCTTCCTCTCTGTAAAAAATCAATAAAATATATTTTTTTAAAAAAAGAATACCAACTCTAAGACATACCTACCAAAAAGTGATACTTACTCATGTTAAAAACTTTAAGCAAGGTTATTCTTACTTTGCAATAAAGCATATTTTCCTTTTTACTCTTCATCTTGAATTTCAAAGTCATGCATTAGAATATATCACACAATAAGATTATTTCTGAATTCTTTGGGCTACAATAGGATTACAATGGCAACAGAGCATCCAATGGACCTTTGTGGCTTCGACCTCAGTATCTGAGTGCCCTCGGATACTTGGCCTCAGGGTTCTTTTCCTAGGTCACCTTATTTATCTCAGGTCAGTCATCCTTGGTTGTTTCACATGCTATCTTGCTACATAATAAAACCAGTACTTCAAAGAACATTCTATCTTTTAAGAATGTTGCTGGCAATTAATATAGCCCAGAATAATTTCAACAACGAATTTATAATTTCAATAATGAATTTATATATTCCCTTACTAGCATGAATTCTTTGCTGATTAACAGTTTTTTCAAGTTCTCTTCTCAGCCTGACTTCTGCCCCATACTTTCCAACCGTGCCATCATCCACCAATATGAAATGGGAATGTAGATTATTCAGAACATTCAATTTGCTCAGAGGGTTCAATAAGGTTTGATAAGGAGCAACCACCTAAACAACATCAAATATAGGAGTTAGTGGGAGAGATTAAATATAACATAATGTAAAATAAAAATAAATTGAAATAATCTATAAAGGAAAATAAGGTAAAATTCCATTTACCTATGGCAACAAATAGAAAGTATCAAAGAATACATAAAAAAGCACTAGCTTTTAAGCAGCCAAAGATTAATCAGTAATTGGTTGCATGATACAACTAAATTGTTTCTTATTGCAGAATATATTTCATTATCACATGCAAAGGAAGCAGCAGCATATAATAATGTGAAAAAAACACGATTAGTTTATTGGTGAATAAAGAGTTAATACATAAGCACACTAAATAAAAGCAATCAAAAGTCATATTGCTATTTTTCTAGCCATAAATAGGATCTTTAAAATTGATATTAGAAATTTAATTGCACTTAAAAGGGATCATTATAAATTAGTCATTCCTTTTTGATAGTCTCTTGATAAACATAGCCAATTCACATCTTTAACCTATTCAAAGCATTTGATTACTATTCATAGTAACAATAAATTAATTCTTAATGTTATGCAATCATTAAAAATTTAATTACAAAGACTGGCATGAAATGGAAAAAAGTGTGAAATAATTATCTTAAAAAGGCAGAAACCAAAATCTACTAACACTCTAATGATAATTACTTGTATCTATGACTGTATATTCAAAATGATCAGAAGGAAACCTTAGAAAAATACTTTTAAAAAAGTAAATTTGAAAAGTATTGTACGTTCAAGAATATTTTTAGTTGCCCAAAAGATCCTTTTTAATTTTGCTTACAAGGAAGTTCAAATACAAGAAATTTAAAAATCATTCTTACATCTCTCCCAACAAGATCATTTCTGTTTTCAATCACTCCCCATGGAGCTATTCCAATAGTGCAAATCTTCCGAGATGATCTGGAAGCATGTTCTTTGAGGGCATCACCAACATGTTTGGCCACACCTGTTCATACAAAATAGAATTCACTTTATCTAAAAATCTTCATTGTGTTCAGAACAATCGTGTGCTCCATCTGTAACATTACAATATGTGATAGTTTTCTTAACACATACAAAAGGCAACAAGGTCAAAAAAACAAACTTACAAAGAAAACTCAAGGACCAAAGAGAAAAAAAACTACAATTTCGGATCACTACAACTGACTAAAACACATATAAAACTTTTACCATGTTCTTATGCTTACTTCTCTCTTAGATTCCTCAATGTAAGTAACTATCGTTTTTTGTTATTGCTCTACACACCATCTCAAAAAACAAAAAGTATGGCTTAGGACTATAAGCAACATACATACACCAACACACACACACATACACACACACCCCAAATAATTACAAAAGTTTTCTAATGAATCAAAACCTGGGAGAATAGTAGAAAAGACAATTCAAAAGACCACATAAGTCCTCATTATGATTTGTTAGGAACTTAATTGCATCCTCCCCAAAATTCCTATGTTGAAATCCTAATCCTAGTACCTAAAAATATGACTGTATTTGGAAATAGGTCCCTTAGAGAGGTTATTACATCAAAATGAAGTGGCTAGGGTGGGTCCAAATCCAACCTGACAGGTGTCCTTACAGGAAAAAAGAGACACAAAAAGAGGCACCATGGACGCACATGCACAGAGGAAAGGCTACGAGAGGACACAATGAAAAGGTCACCATCTGAATGCCAAGAAGAAAGGCCTCGGAAGGAACAAAACCTGCTAACATCTTGATCTTGGACCTAGAGAAATATGAGAAAATAAATTTTTGTTCAAGCTACCCTAATCTTGTGGTATTTTGTTATGGCATTTGGCATTGTGGTATTTACAGTCTACTTTCAAAATATCATATAAGTGATCTTTGCTCTTGTCAACTCTGCTTAAAACCATCCCTTCTCATTCAGAGAAAAAATCACAAGTGATTAAAATGGATTACAAGGATCTACTATAAAGATCTTCCTATTGTCCCTGGTATTCACCATGCTACCCAATCCTCACCACCATCACACACCCACAACTCTCTGATCTTACCATCTAATACTTCTTGCTCTTTCCACTCCAGCGATACTGAATGACCCCTTATTACTATTCTCCCAACACACTAGCTGTTTCTTCTTTAAATGCTGTACTCCACATTACTCTTATCTTACTCCTTCATTTCCTTCCATCTCTACTCAAATGTCACTTTATTAGTGAAGCCCTAGCCACCATCCCCATCATCTCTACAATATATTTCATGTGTCTGCATAGCACTTATAATCTTATTACACATTTGTATGAGTTCAACATAGGTTTTATTCTTTTTTTTCCAGTAACAGTTTACATCATATTATGTTGTACTAGTTTCAAGTGTACAGCATAATGATTAAGCATACACTTTACAAAGTGCTCCACCTGACATTTCCAGTACCTATCTGGCACCATACAGTTACAGTATTAGTGACTGTATTTCCTATGCTGTACTTTAAATCCCCATGACTATTTTGTAACTACCAAACTGTACTTCTTACTCACTTCACCTTTATCACCCAGCCCCATAAACCCACCTCCCCTATGGCAACCATCACTCTATCCCTGTATCTATGGATCTGTTTCTGTTTTGTTTCTTCATTTATATTGTTCTTTAGATTCCTACATATAAGTGAAATCATATGGTATTGTCTTTCTCTGACTAATCTATTTCACTTTACCCTCTAGAGTCCATGCATGCAAATGGTAACATTTCATTTTTTATGGCCGAGTAATATTTCACTGTATATATGTACCACATCTATTTTATCCACTAATCTACTGATAGGCACTTGAGTTGCTCCCATATCTTGGCTATTGAAAGTATCACTGCAATGAACATAGGAATGCACGTATTCTTTCGAATTAGGGTTTCTTCGGACATAAATCTAGAAATGGAATTTCTGGATCATAAGGCAGTTCCATTTTTAATTTTTTGAGGTAACTCCATACTATTTTCATAGTGGCTGTATCAATCTGCATTCCCATCAACAATGCATAATGGCTCCCTTTCTTCCACATCATCACACTTGTTTGTTCATTTATTGATGACTAGGGGCCCTGTGCATGAAATTCGTGCACTGGGGGGGGGGTTCTCTCAACCCACCCTGTCCCCTCTCACATACTGGGAGCCCTCAGGGGACGTCCTACTGACGGCTTAGGCCTGCTCCCTGATCCCCTTGGGGAGTGGGCGTAAGCCGCAGTCTGGCCTCCCTTTCTGGGAGGTGACTGGGCTGATCAGGGGAAGGCACCAGCCCCATCACCCCGCTGCTGCAGCCACTGCCAGGTGTTTGCAGCAACACGGACTCCAGTCCCTTCACTATGAAAAATGACAACTTTCTTTAGGCATTTTCAAGATGTGTCTTTCATAGGATATGACATTTCTTTCTTTATTATTTTTTTATCCTCACCTGAGGATATGTTTCCATTGATTTTTAGAGAATGTGGAAGAGAAAGGGAAAGACAGAGAGAAACATCAAAGTGAGAGGAACAACTTGATTGGTTGCCTCCTGCATGAGCCCTGACCTGGGCCCTGGCCAAGGAGGAGCCTGCAACCTAGGTACATGCCCTTGGTCAGTATTGAACCCAGACCCTGCAGTCAGCAGGCAGAGACTCTATCCACTGAGCCAAACTGGCTAGGGCAGGATATGACATTTCTTAGCCCTCCAGCAGGGGACCTCATTTTTTTCGCCAGGAGTGTGTTGGAAAAACCCTAAGTCACCTTCTTGGATTCTTATTACCCAAGTTACTAAGAATATTACCAGTGGCATACAGGGAGCTTAGCCAATGAGCAGTCAGAAAAGGTGTTTCCTCTGTAGTTCACACCAACTGCCTTCTTGGCCAATGCCCAGGCCTAAAGCCTCGGGGCCTGGGCAGGGATCCCCGAGCTCTCTCCCATCGGCCCCTGCCCAGGCCTAAGGCCTCTGGCTGGGGCTTTAGGCCTGGGCAGGGAACCCCCAGCTCCTTCCGATCGCGAACTCTGCCCCTGCCCAGGCCTGTGCAGGGGACCTCCAACTCCCTCCAATCACCAGCTCCACCCCTGCTCCCGATTGCCAGCTCCCCCTCTGCCCAGGCCTAACGCCTCTGGCCAAGGTGTTAGGCCTGGGCAAGGGACCCCCAGCTCCCTCCGATTGTGGGCTCTGCCCCTGCCCAGGCCTAACACCTCTGGCCAAGGCGTTAGGCTGGGCAGGGGCCCCCTGGCTCAGGCCCTTCCTAAGCTGCTCAGGGCCCACACTGGGCCTACCTAGGAGTGACCTGGGTGCCCGATGATGTTCCTGGGACCCAGACTGCCTACATATGCAAATTAACGCCATCTTTGTTGGGTTAATTTGCATACTCTCCTGATTGGCTGGTGGGTGTAGCGGAGGGATGGTCAATTTACATGTTTGTCTATTATTAGGTAAGATAGCCATTCTGATGGGTGTGAGGTGATATCTCATTGTGGCTTTAATTTGCATTTTTCTGATGATTAATAACCATCTTTTCATATGTCTATTAGTCATCTATATTTCCTCTTTGTGGAGAAATGTCTATTTAGGTCCTTTGCCTATTTTTAAATGAATTATTTGTTTTTTTAGTGTTGAGTTGTTCTGAGTTCTTTACAAATTTTGGTTATTGCCCGACCGGCATAGATCAGTAGTTGACCATCAACCTATGAACCAGGTGGTCATGGTTCAATTCCCGACCTGAATTGCAGGCTCGATCCCCAGTGGGGGGTGTGCAGGAGGCAACTCAATGATTTTCTCTAATCATTGATGTTTCTATCTCTCTCCCTCTCCCTTCTCTGAAATCAATAAAAATATATTTAAATTTAAATAAACAAATACATTTTGGATATTAACCTCTTATCAGCTGTATCAGTGGTGAGTAGCTTTTCCTATTCAGTGGTTTGTCTCTTCATTTTGTTGATGGGTTCCTTTGCCAAACAAAAACCTTTTAGTTTGATATAATTCCTTTTTTTTTTTGTTTCCCTTGCATGAGAAAAAATATTACTCAGAGAAACTAAGATATTATACATTTAGTTATATGTTTGTTATCTGCATCTCCCCCACCAGAATGTAATCTGCTGAAGGTAAATATTTTGTTTTGTGGAGTGATATATTTTCAGCAGCCAGAAGAATACTTAATACACAGTTGTTGATAATGAATTAGATATTTGCAAACTAATTAAGTAATAATTGCTTTACTTTGGACATTAAAATTAATTGGTCTTTCTAAAATCTAACCTGCAGATGTGATAGGGAAGACTTAGAAAGATTATAGTATATTAAAAATTAATTTTGAAAGTTACTTCTTACTACTGGCTAGGCAATGGATTCCATTCTTGTACCAATTTACCAGTAGCCAGAAAGTGACAGGAATAATAATACTTTTCTCTTGCCCTAACCGGTTTGGCTCAGTGGACAGAGCGTCGGCCTGCGGACTAAAGGGTCCCAGGTTCAATTCTGGTCAAGGGCATGTACCTTGGTTGTGGGCACAACTCCGGTGGGGAGTGTGCAGGAGGCAGCTGATCGATGTGTCTCTCTCATCGATATTTCTAACCCTCTATCCCTCTCCCTTCTTCTCTGTAAAAAATCAATAAAATATATTTAAAAAACAATAATAATACTTTGCTCTATAGTAAGGGTTACTAACCTTTTTTTGTAAAGGGCCAAACAGTAAATGTTTTAGGCTTTGCAAAATATAGCTTTTGTTTTCTGTTAAACTAGAACAAAAGTAGCCATAAATAACACAAAACCAAATGAATGCAGCTATGTTCCAATAAACCTTTATTTACAATAACAAGGAGTGGACTGGATTTGGTACATAGGTCATAGTTTGCCAACCCGTTCTAAAACGTATTATTTTTTTAAAAGACTAAATGAAAACCAAAAACTTTTAGTTACCATTTATCTAGAAACTGTAGATTTAACAGAAAAACTGAATATATTTATATTCAGTGTTGACTATTGTTTCAAATATCTAATTGATATTCTGAAAAAATTATAAACAGACTAAATAAAATTAGTATAATTATCACAGTACCTGTGTTTACTCCTCCAGTTAAAATCCAGGCTCCAGTTGTAACTGCAGCTTTAATAAGACCTTTTCCAAGCAACTGCTTGATTCGTGGGTGAAGCTCAAATTTCTGCATGCCCCCATGTACAGAGATAACAAGTTTGGGTAATTCCATTTGCCATTCTTTAAGCAGAAGTTGCAGAATGACTTCAGTTTTGGTGTCATATGATAGTCTAACATACTAAAAAAGACAAAATAATTGACTATGTTCATAAGTTTCATAATACAACATTACACAACTTTAGAAAACTTTTATTTTAATTAACTATAAAGATTTCATAGGCTACTTTTAATATATTTACACTTTGAATAAGAGCAAATGATTTTAAAGTTGGAAAGCCATTTTGTACGAGCTATAGAAGTAGTGGCATTCTAATGTTTAAAATTTAAGATTAAGATATAACTGTGTTACACTTCCTGCTTATATAAATTCATTTACTGTTCAACCAATTTACACATTTATCCAGTTTTTATTAGCTTGTTTAACTATGAGTATGCAGTGAATGAGAGGTATAAAGGCTAACTACAATGATGGGAAAAAGAAAAAGAAAGAGCCCTAACTGGTTTGGCTCAGTGGATAGAGCGTCAGCCTATGGACTCAAGGGTCCCAGGTTCGATTCTGGTCAGGGGCGTGTGCCTTGGTTGCGGGCACATACCAGTGGGCGGTGTGCAGGAGGCAGCTGAGAGATGTTTCTAACTCTCTCTCTCCCTTTCTCTCTGTAAAAAATCAATAAAATATATTTTTTTAAAAAAAGAAAAAGAAAGAATGATGAAAATGGAGGCTTCTGCAACTCTTGCTATTAAAAAAAGCAAATACTACATTATCTATTTGAAAGTTTTGTCAATGATCAAGTCCATTTATAGAAGGACTGTCGCTATGCAGTAAAGTAACAAAAATATTTTTAATATAAATGATGGTTTCCCTTGATGGAAGTAATTATAGATTTGATCCACAAATTACCGAAAATAATAAATTTTATTCAATATTCTAAAGTGTTCAGGTGGATTTACCAGTTTAATTTTTTTAAATCATTCTATAGAAAATTAACCATCATTTCCTCCGATTTAGATTTTAAAAATTATATTTCTCTTAAGTGACATCACAAAATTTACTTGCTATAACCACTCTACTTCATTCTCTTTGTCTAATGCACCTATATGATTCACCTCATAAGAAATCTGAAACATTCAGATGTTGGAATAAAAAACACTTTTAAGCATCTCTAAGAAAGGTTCTTTACAAAACAATATATTGCCCATTCCATTACAAATATCAAACACCAATGAAAAAATATGCTCAAGTATCAGAATTCTTCAACACTGATTAAGATTCCAGAGTCCCTTAAGAATGATTTGAAAAAGATTTGTTCCATACTAAGTATTTCTGCATTAGTTTAATTTAACTCATTATTATAATTAATACAGTACACACAGTAGTGTTTGCAAAAGAGTCTAAAGCTAATTTTTTTTTTAAAGATTATGTTAAGAATAAATGAGGAATTCTACTTCTGGCAATGAACTAGATTGCTCTGGACCATCTCTGCCCCTGGAAACTAGAAAAACTAAAACTAGGTAAGTAACATCTGTTTTGAGGCATCAGAGGGCTATCAACGCAATGAAAACTTGTGGGTTAAGGATCCATGAGAATGGGAAAACTTTTAGAGACGGGAGACCAATTGGCACTATTTTCCCTTCAAGAGAAGGAGGCAGGCAGAACAATGTAAAGAGTAAAATGTTGGTAAATCTAAATGAAAAACAATTATGTTTTGGGGTTTAAAATACACAAAGAAATAAAATTCATGCCATCAAAAAGCACGTAAGCCATAAGGAAAGTAAATGTACTTACAAAGGTTCCAAAGGATCTTGCATTGTCAGAAAGTAGTATAGTACTAATCTATAATAGTAACAAGTTAAAAATGTATTCATAGTTTCATAAAAATACTGTAAGCCCAGCTGGCGTGGCTCAGTGGTTAAACGTCAACCTATCAACCAAGGAGGTCATGGTTTAATTCCCCAGTTGGGGCACATGCCCAGGTTGTGGACTCCATCCCCAGTGGGGGATGTGCAGGAAGTAGCCAATCAGTGATTCTCATCATTGATGTTTCTCTCTCTCTCCTCCTCTCCCTTTCTCTATGAAATCAATTAAAAATATATTTTTTAAAAAGAGAATATAAAAATAGAAAAAATGTATAAATAACATGCTAATAAGGAGGAAAAGAATAAAAAAATATTTAATCCAAAGACACAAGGAAACAAAGAAAAAGTGAGACAGTAGACACTACTTTTTAAATTTTTGAAAAGAAACCCTTAAAGAAAGGTTAACAGTAAAATAAAAGAAAATATTAGCTATACTGATTACTGAAAAAAGCAGGCTTAGTCAACAAAACTGACAAAAAATAAAAGACATTTTATAATGATAAAAAGTTCAAGTCACCAAGGTATAACAATTATATATTTTACGCACGTCTACAAAGAACTTAAAAATATGTAAAAGAATTACTGGGACTGATTTCCTGACATAGCATTATATAAACTGTCAGATAACAAAAATATATCATTTAAATAACAACGTAAATGAAGTAAAGAAACCAATATGTGACATACTTTAGCTCTGTAGGAATGAGAACCCCCTTGAAAATTAATGACTCCATAAGCATCCGTTGGGCTCTGTTCCGTATGCTTTTCCACAGACCATTCTTCTAATGCCTGATTAAAATGGTCATCCAATTTCACATCTGAGTATTTCATGGCAAGACTTGCAGTAAAACAAGCATGTTGCTTGACCAAGCGACCACAAAAACACCTAAAAAAAAAACAATAAAATTAAAGACTTTAAAAAAAATTAGTCAATGAAAAACTGAATTAAGATGACTGAATTAAAGAGCAATACAAAAATAACTTGAGCTTTTGATTTTAATATAGCTAATACCAGTATCTTCACTATAGCACTGAAATAGTACAAATACATTAGTATATAATGATATGTTCATCTAAATTCAGTGTGAGCTTCTACAAAATATAGTATAGTTATATAATAGGAATAGTATTCAAACACAGAAAGAAATGAACCACTAATAGACACAATAATATGATGTATTTCAAAATCATCATGCTGAATGAAAAAAGCTGGATGCTACCAAAGAGAGCATATTTATATGATACCATGTATACAGAATTCAAGAAAATACAAATTAATTTATATACCCAAGGATATGTTAAGAACTGCTACACAGCAGGCTATGTAGTTCACAAAACACAGGCAATAGTTTGTGTTTCTATCAGAAAGAATCAAGAGATCTCATAATATGGGAGGTCTGTAATATAATAGGGTCCTCAGGAGAGTAATGCCTATTAGAAAGGCTAACTAAGACCAAGACTACATACGTCCTGACAGAGTTTAAGAGCAAGACTTCAAGGACCAAACTGATCCAAAGTTACTTAACTGCATGCTAAAATAAGTCCAAAGCTAGTGGAATACAACAAAATCCAACACCCAAAACATAAAATTCACAGTGTGCAGCAACCACCAGAAAATACAAGGCAATCAAAAAAGCAGGAAAAAAATAAGTGAAAAAAATATCACTAATTAAGACCCAGAAATTGTAGAGGTAATGAAATTAGCAGAAAAGGACACTAAAACAGCCATTATAAATAAGTTCAAACTATTAAGAATATGTTTGGAAAAATTAGAGGAAAACATTAACAGGATGAGGGAGGAACTGGAAAGGTTTTCTTTTTAAAACTAGAGATCTTGTGCACGAATTCATGCACCAGTGGGGGTCTCTCAGCCTAGCCTGTGGAATCAGGTTGAAACCAGCTCTCCAACTTCCCCCAAGGGGTCCCGGATTGCAAGAGGGCACAGGCCAGGCTGAGGGACCCCACCGGTGCACAATCAAGGCCGGGGAGGAACACAGGAGGTTGGCCAGCTGGGGAAGGACCACGGGAGGGCAATAGGGCATTTCCGGCCCGTCTCGCTCAGTCCCAATTGGCCAGACCCCAGCAGCAAGCTAACCTATCAGTTGGAGCATCTGCCCCCTGGAGGTCAGTGCACACCATAGCGACCAGTCATCTGTCTGTCCCCTGGTGGTCAGTGCATGTCATAGCG